CAGTTGTTTGTCTTTGAATAATTCTTGATATCTCCTGTAGTCATTTACTTCTATTTGGTTAGTTCTAATTTTCAAGGTGCTATTTTCTTGAATAAGTCTTTGTACCTCTTGCTTTCAGCTGTTAATTCTCTTTTCACACCTTTCTTCCATAGCTCTCATTTCTTTTCCCATTTTTTCCACTACCATTCTCATATAATTTTAAAAATCAATTTTGCTTTTAAAAAAATTCTCTTCCATGAATTCCTGATGGACTTGTGTCCAAGCTGTATTTTTTCTTCAAGGCTTTGCTTGTAGATGTTTTCAAGTCATTTTCTTCTTCTTGAGTCTGTGCCTTGACCTTCACTATTGTGGTAATATCTCTTTATGGCAGGATTTCTTATTTGTTCCATTTTCCAATCTACTTCTTGACTTTGGACTTTGTTAGTGCTGGGCTCTGCACATTTCTGGGGAGAATGTCTGGCCTGAGCTTGTCTTTTTATGTAATTCTGGGGCTTTCACAGCTTAGGCTGGGGCCAGTCACACCTGACTGCAAAGTGACAGGATCTGGGGCAAAGACTGTTTACTGTCCTACTCTGAGCTCTGCAAGTTTCTGATACAGGTTTGGGTCTGTTGGTTTGTCCCTGGCTGGAAGTTTCAGTAGAGCACTGACTGATTCAGCCACCAGCAGCCCACAGAGAGGTTCTGTAGATCCACAGCAACTGAACTGCTGGCTCCTCTTTGGACCAGGATTCTTCCTTTGCTTATTACACTGCAGGCTTCCAAGCTGGGCTGAAAGCTAGAACTGAATCCCTGGCTCTACTCCTGGGATCACTGCCACATAGCTACTCTGCTTCTGAACTTATTCTTTCCTCAGTATATAGTCAGGGCCTGCTAGCTACTGCTCCTCTCCATCACCCTCACAGGCAAATCTCTCCTCAGAACAACCTAAAATTGGGTAATAAGGAACAAAGTGTGATATAACACCCATTTTTATACCTTGCACTAAGTTCAGGGATCCTTTTGGAACTTTTCCCACGCCATGCTTCTGTTAGCTCTCTTTTCCAACATCCCAAGATGCTGGGAATGTTCCACATGTAGTAAGGTCCTAGCCAGATACTATCTACCATGTTCTAAGACCATCTTGGGAGAGAAAAATTACTCATAGTGACTTTTTCTTAGATTTCCCAATCAGAATTTGGTCTGGTGTGTTTTCTAGGTCTTTGTAGAGGATGAACTAGGCTGTAATACTTCTTGCTACTCCACCACCATAACTTTCTCTCCAGTTCCATTTTCCACATGAAGAATTGATATATAGAGAACGACCTACCCAAGGTCACATCAGACAATAAGAAGTGGGACTAAGATTTGAACCCATGTCTTTGATGTCAAATCCAATGTTATTTCCACCAGTCTCTAATGCTACAATATACCAGTGTTCACCTAGACATTGGTGCACTGGGAGACTGTCTACTACGAATGTCCTCTGAAATGATCATTAGCTCTCCGGCCTTTTACTTCCTAACTTCCCAGGCCACCCAAAAAGTCATTTTTAAACATGATTTCTGGCATATAGCTTTTCCATTTTTAATTTCAAACCAGTTTATTTCCCAGGGAATTCTGAAAATTCTGTGTATGTATGGAAGAATACTTTTTAGAAATCAACTTACAATCTCAGAATTATCTAGAAATTTTTTTTTCTTAAAAGCATCAATACTTTTCAACCATTAGATTCAAACTGTATACATATATTTGATACATCTCAATCCTTTGTTCCTTAGATTCTATTAACCCTTAATGCCCTCTCTGAAATGACTTCCAATAATACTTTCCCCACCATTGCTAAGGCCCTTATATGCTAATTTGGGTCTTCTTAATCCTCATTCTGGATTAATGCAATACCTTGCTAACTGACATTTCTGCCTCCCATCTCGCTCCCATACAATTCATCTTCCATTACTTTGTCACATAAATTTTTTCTAAAATGACTAATAATCACCACTGAACACTTCTGAACCAAGGCTAGGGCATCTCTGCAAAAATCACATAAAAAAAACTAACTTATTTATTTCCTAAATGGTCAACTAATTCTCTGGTAGTATCAAAACAACATCAGAATTAAGATGAAAATATACTATTGCAGACTAGACTAAAAGCGTACTTCAATCTTTCATTTTGGTGTAGAGATAACTCTAGATTCTTGAAGGCTCTGCTAAGTGTGAGCTCTGTTAAATCCTACCAAGTAGGAAAGGTTCTCAGTATGGGCCAGCAATGGACTCTGTATCTTGTTATACAAAGAACAGATTAGCTAAGTCTGGAGAAGCTCATGACCTGAAAAGGCTGACCACCAAGATATGAAGTAGACTTTTAAAAAATGATAGTTCAGAAAGTATCCACACTGTTGAAGACAGATTTTTTTTTCAAGTACTGAAAAAGTCTTAGATTAGAACCCCTTGGAGAGCAAGGACTATCTTATTTATCTTTATCTTTATATTTCAATTTCTATCAGTGTCTACTATAATGCTTAACACAGAGTAGGTGCCTAGTAAATACTGAAAGATTAACAGTAACATTTCAACAAATCAGATTTATTTTTGCCGTATTTTAAAGAGGAAAAGCACACTGAATGAAAATTGTATCAGTAACTTTAGCTCCCAAAACTGTATGAGAATATGGTCAATGAATCAACAAATATTTATGAAGCTCTCATTATATGCTAGGCCCTGTGCTAATCTACATTTTTAGTACTGAAAATACTTTGCAGCAAGGACAGAATGACCCTACAAAGACCCTCAACCACAAGTCTTTAAAGAATGATTCAGCTATGTTCAAAATATAATACCGAAGGCAGCAAAATAAATTGATATATTTCATAACAATCCGTTAAAATTAACTTGAAAAAGAATAGTCACATGTTACCTTCAGATTCATTTCCCACTGACTCCTGAACATTCTTGAAAGCTGGTCTTCATTTCCACTGCTCTGCTCCACACTACAGTAACCAAATACCAAATCCAACAATCTTTTCTCACCTAGTACTCTCCTTGCCATTTCTGTAGCATCTGACACTACTAAACAACCCCTGAAAGCCTCCTTCCTGGGTTTTTGTGACACCATACAGCTTGCTGAATCCTCCTTTTTTTTTTTTACCCTTTTTAAAACCTATATATTAGACAATTCCCCAAGGCTTGGTCTTATATTTAACCCCAAATGTTCCTTCTTATGTCTTACTCTAGAGTGATTTAATCCATTAACAATGTTCCAACTATTACTTCATGTCAATTTCTCTTAAATCTTTAGTAAGAGTTTATCTACTGAGCTACAGACATATTTCCAAGCAGATATCTCAACATCATCAGTTCACATATCTAAAACCGAAATCATGTAATCTCTAAACCTTCTCTTGCCTTATCCTTTTCTTTTCAAGTTATCTTCATTCTTCCTGTTTTTCAGTTATATTTGACTTCTCTTTTCCCTTGCTCTTAACATCTAGGCAATCCTCAAATACCGTTAATGTTACCATTACAATCTATTGCATGTTAACCTTTTTTCCATTTCTACTTCCAACATGGTAATCTCACCTGCAATTCATCCTATATCTCTGATATATTAACCTTAAATAAGAGCTCCAATCATATCACAACTCTCATATTTTCAGTTGCTCTCTACTCTACTGATAGCTTAGTAAATCCTAAAGTCTATGGCTTGGTTGACATACTAAGCTTTCAACTTACTTTTTCATTCTCATCTACCATTATTCCCCCATATCATCAAAGGATCTAGGTAAAGTGATCACACAAAACATCATCTACTTTTCCAGGTCCATTTCTTTTCCCCTACTTAGAAATCCAATTACCCTCATCTGCTGAAATTTTATTTCACTCTCCCAGGATCTAATTCAAACAGTATTTCCTCCATGATGCTTCCTTTTGTCTGCCCTTTTGCCCTGCCAGTCAAAAGCTGGAAATGCTTCCTCTTCCTCTGAAATCTTACAGGCACAGTTGTACAGCTCTAGAATTGTTAAGATGGGACAGACTTCATCTCACAGATAAGGATTCCAAGATCCAGAAAAGTCAGGAGCCTTGCTCCGCTACACAGTTGATAAACAACAAAGTCCAAGGCAGGACCTAAGTCTTCTGCCTCTGAATTCCACCAATGTTTATTAAGCATTTACTACATGCAGGATACTCTGTGAGGTACTAGGGACACTAAAAAATAGTCCCTGTCCTCTCAGAACTTACACAGATTCATGCAAAAGCCTCTCTAATTATGACAAGGCAAAATGCAAAAAGGATTTAAAAAAAATCTTCAGTACTTAGGATTATAGATGTGAAGCTATAAGTTTTATTTTCTATCATATGTGTATCTGTATAGGAGTTGTTTTTCTAGCTAGACTGTAAGCTTATGTCAATTCATTTCAACTGAACAAAAATTTTCACCTATGTGAAAGACAGTTTTCAAGGCTATGAAGACGAAAAATGACAGTCACAGGTTTATAGATTTAGACCTAGAAAAGAGCATGAACACCTCACATTTTGTAGTTAAGGCTCAGGGGTAACAAATTACTTATTTGCTCAGGGTCACAGAGATATTAAAAGGCAGAGCCACCCAGGCTCTAAGATCAGTGCTTGTTCCATTAGTTCAAGAAGCATCAAGGAAGTCTGTTGTTTAAATAAGAGGGACAGGACACGGATAACACAAGGGAGAATATGGCAAGGGCAAAAGACCTGGCAAAATACTAGGAAATGTGGAGGGTCACGTTTTGCCCTTTACCAGGGTTAAGGGAGAAAGGGCCAATGAAGGTTTCATATGGAAATTAGTCTCAAAGAGAGCTAGAGAAGGTAGAGGAAATTTTGCTATTAGGGCCCAGCATATATAGTATATCTCTTATACATAGTAGGTACCGCAAAGTTTGTTCAATGAATGAAAATAGCATTCTCTCAGGTTCCTGGTTTATTTAAGTTTTACTTTAGTGTTAATTCACATTTAACTTAACTGTGATAAAATGAGTGATAAATACTAACCGTAATACACAGCAGAGCACCATAAGGTGAGTGGGCACATTAGTTGGATTGAGCATTGCTGGTGTATCTGATCTCATACAGGCCAAAAATGCTCTCATTCTTCTATTCTTATCTTCTACTGCTTTCCCCAGCCACAGTTTCTTCAGGTTAGGACAGGTCCACTCCCTGAATGCAAGTGCTTCCACCAGTTCCGGTGTTTGGGGAGATTTTCCTTTGTAAGCAGCCCATTCTTTAATTATCACTGGCGAAACTGAGGAAAGAAAAAAATATAGAAAAGCCTCTTATAGTGTCCATTTTGTGTACTTTAAATCCTAGCACACAAAAAGCACATTAATTATTCTTAGACACTTTAAATCCTATTAGTGACAGGAAAACCAAGTTCTAAAAGAAATTTGAGCACTTTTTTTTTGCATCTTGAATATTATGCAATTCAAATAAATCACCTAGAGTATACTGGCAGAGACATATACACTGAACAGTTAAAGGAGACACAAATTCCTTTTCAATGAAATTATAAAACTATTTCTCCTCCAAAGACCTGCTAATGACAAGAAACATCCAAACTGACTTCTTGGTTTAATTACTTTTACCTATCAACAAGTTGATAATAGCATTTTATTTACTTCAGTTTATAAAGCACTGCAAAATCACCACACCCATGAGGAAAAGCTATTATTAATTTACAAGGTTTAATTTATCTCTTTTTATATAGATGCTATCTCTTTGTATAGTCCAATTTCCTTCCATTCCCCTTTTATAAAACTAAGGGCCTCTAAGTTTACAGATATATAATTATTATTGTCCCATTTTAAAGACTGGCAAGTAATAATTGAGCAACTGGCTCAAAACCATGTAAGAGTCCAAATAGGTATAAAACTCAAGAATCTGAAATTATAAACCAAATAGGAACAAATTAAGATGAATTAATTTAAACATACGAAATAAATGACATTTTAAAAGTTTTTTACTTCAAAAAGTAAAAGGTTTTATGTTGACATAAAACAAAAACAAAAGCTATATACCCACAAAATTTTTTAAGTGGGGGGAAAATATTAACAGCAATAAATAACTCATATAAAAACCATACACACACACATTTCCCAGCTTCCAAATTATGCACAGACCTACATTAGGCAAATTACAGTACAATTAATCCATATCACCCAGAAGCAAATTAAATCCTCACAACTTGTGTTAATTTAAACATGTATTAAAAATATCACCAAAAACCGCAACAGAAAATAATGAGCAACTCATTTGAGTTGTACAAACAGCAAGGAGACTTTTGAGGCTAACACAGACCAGGCCAATATAAAAAAAGTACTAGAGTTGGCCATTATATATTAATGAACATAACATCTCAAGCTGAAGAGAAAACATAGCATATAGTAGTCACTTAATAAAATACTTGACTGGCTCATACTATAAATTCTAATTTTAGCATTAATACATCCTATCAAAGTAATAACCACAATCCTGTGTTGGGTATTTCCTAAAGCAAGGCCCACTATATTAACAGGTGAACTATATCAAAACAGCATTCTGAAGCATTAAGACTTGGTAAAGGAAGTAACCAATGAATGACTGCTCAATTACTATTTTAAGTACAGATGCACAACACTATAATCATTCATAAAATTCAGGGCAGAAGAGTTAGATCTGACACCAAAATATGTCACCAGCAGAAAAAATGAAAATACATGCAAATCTTTAAGGCAGGCTTTTCCAAAGGTTTAAGTAACTACAGTAACAGTCATATGAATACATAGTAAGAATGATATAGCCTAATTTTTTGTCATTCCATTTTCTGATGATTAAACAACATTAGCTGTCATTTCATTTAAAATTGACCTTTTTAAAGACCATACCAGATACAACACAAAAAAATATTTTAGTCTTTTGCTACTGTTATCATGTGAAAAGTTTCTTTTACCTTTTGAAAATTCTGAATACAGTAACTTAAGAAACTGTTAATTCAAGTGTAAAGGGTTTGTGATCTATGTCAGTATAGGGAGTAATTATATTGATAAAATAATGGATCTTTGAGATATACAAGTATTTACGTTTTGGAAAGATTTTGAAAGAAAAATTTTAGACATTTCACATTATTTTGTCAGTATGTGTGAATGTCTGTACATATATATATAGAGGTACACTTTAGGCATTATCAATATTCAGAAGAGCCACTTACAAAATTAGAAAAAAAAATACACAACTTGTTCCTGCCCTTAGGCTCACAATCTAAAAACCATTTAGGTTTTGTAAACTGTAATCAGAAAACCAAGTTGTCCATTTTTCTGAGCCAGGTACTACAGCATGTTCAAAAATATCAATCTAAGTAGTTATCTGCTAAATAGAGAATACTGACTATATTTCTATCAAAGTCTTTTATAAATGTCATCATTATATATTGTAGCAAATAAAGTAGTTTGTGTTAAACTTTATTAGATCCTTGATATAAAGGAGGACTAACTTTTCTAGGAATGTACCTATTTCAATTCTACAGGATTTAAGCAGACTAAATTATATGCCTTTATCCTTGATTCATGGGTTAACATATACTAGTTTTTTTCTTTTTTCTTTTCTTTATAGTTCAGAATAGTTATATACGACAGAGCTTATCAATACTGAGGAGGTTCAGTTAATATCTACAATGACCTTACATATCAGAGTACCCTGCTGTGTTTTTTTATGGAAACAGAAACTCTTATTTGATCTATTATGACTTCAGGTACACCATTATTTTCTATCAGTTATTCTTATCCTTCCCACCCACTTATTACTTCCCACTTGGGTTTATCATAGTAGAATGACTAATGAATGAATGATTCATTGAAATACAGTGAGAAAATAAAGTAAGTGCTAAACTGCCCATCTGAATGCCTATCTACTTCTAATAAACTTAGTTCAAATCACTCTTAATGTAGGATAAAAAGTGACTGTATCCCTGTAATTAAGTGCAAAGTCTTTTTTGAATCCCCTCAGTCTTTATGGGTTTTCTCTGGCTCTCAAAGGCAAGCCCCAAGATGGCTGACTTGGAGGTCTTTTTCATGGCTCTGGGGTGTCCAAGAATTTAAGTCAATTGACAGAGACTATAAATTGAAAAGTTCTGCAACATTTGGTGATGTCAAATTCACTCACCTTCACGTAATATTTTGTTAGTATAATCTTGTTAATGGTTTCCAGATTTATGACAGTGTTGTAAGATTCACTCCAATCAAAATTTCTTCAACAGTTAACGTGCATAGAATTGTGAATTTCACCCTCACCCCCCAAGTACTATGCACTTTATATATTAAATGTATATAGAGAATTTTCTGAAAGTTAATAAAAAATATATATTAAGACACAGACCCTGCTTTTAAGCAGATGCTAATATTGTTGAATTTTATTTCTTTACTTTTGACAAGCCATAACCTAAACAATGACTGAAAAAAAGTAAGCTGTTTTTAAAAGCTCTCCAAGGAAAAAGCATTAAACTACCCATTTAAATGCCTATTAAATGACAATAAATTTAGTTCAAATTATTTTTAGCATAGGATTGAGGGGGACTGTATCCCTGTAATTTAATGCAGAGTCCTTAGTTCATTTTTAATCTCCATTGCTAACCTATTTGGAGAAATAAGTCATTAGATTTCATTTCTAAATTTCCTGCCTCTTAATGCCAGGAGAGAGAATAGCAGAAAAACCAGAATGAGCTTTCTCTAAGTAAATGAGTATTTCATAAATTTCCAATCTTCAGTGGAAGGCAGTGTGCAAGGGATAGGTGGGAAAAAAGTACAGGCATTGGTACCAGATGTGGGTTTCAGCTGGGGCTCAGCCTCTCTCTGATTGTTGGGTCCAAGCAGCCATTTTACTCCTCACACTTACACTGCCTGCCTCGAAGGGCCAAATGCTCTGTAAACCTGGAAGGTTTACATGTTCATGTTGTAACATGAATGTGGGTTTTTACCACAAATGGGATCCCATGCAATCCCTATTTCCCGACACTTAGAGACTTTAGCTAGTGCAATTGCCTAAATCTGACATTGATCTACCAGATGGCAAGGTGAACCCTTATTCTTCTCCCTGAATCCCACTGGTAAATGCTACACATTAAAGTTCAACCTTTTGGCTTTAGATTGAACTGATCCTCATCATACATGGAAACACAGGGTATCTTGTTGTGTATTGCAAGGCTTTTACATCAGTTCTTTTCCTCACTCATATTATTCCTGGAATGAAAGTCACAGAAGAAATTTAGTATGTAAAATCTTTTGAAGGAAAAATCCAAAATTTTAATAGCAAATGTCTTCTAAGATATTCAGATTTCCTACAGTTGCTGAGATAACTTTTGAGTGGTCATTGTGCTTGAACCATTCAACTTATCTGAAATAGTACACAGAATAAGAGAAGTTCAAAACAGAATAAAACTGTGACCAACTTTCCTAAAAGTCACAGAAGAAAACCAATGTCAATTGCCAATCATTTTTATAAATAATATATATGGACATTTCTTGACTTATTTTAAATATATTCGATGGCCCTGAATTTTACAAAATGTTCAAAATGTGTTGTTTAAAAAGAAAAAGTCTAAATGATTTCACTTGGGAATTATTTAAACATAAGGAAGAAACATTAAGTATGTAAATTATTTGGCTACCAACAAAAACACTTATGAAATGTGCCAAGACCATTCATTTCCTTTTCAATTTTTTTCTTGTTCTAAAAAGCAGAAAAATGAAAAATGGATAATTCTTTAAAAATAATATAATAGCTATAATATATTTCTTATAACAATATTTTAAATTTACCATCAGATTCAATGAAAATACCTTATTTGTGTCAAACTTTAGGACTGCCTTTCCTAAAAAGTCTATACTATCCTCCCTCTCCTATCCTTCACCCCCATTTCTTGAAGCCTGATGCATACACACACGAAGGAACAAAAGAAGGGTATCCCTAAGGAGGTCAAAGACAGAAAAAAAGGTTCCACATATGCCATGACATAAACTAGCAGTCCATTTTGTGGTAGCAAAGAAGCGAAAACAAAGTAGCTGCACAACAAATGGGAAATGGTTAAATAAACTGTGTACCTGAACATAATGGAATATTACTGAGACATAAGAAACAATGAAAATGACAAATTAAGAGAAGCTGGGGAAGACTTACGTGAACAATGATGCATAGGAAAGTAAGCAGAATAAAGAAACCAGGATTACAACAATGTAAATGGGAAGAACAAAAACAAATTCATGAAACTGGATACTG